TGCAAAATTATTTAGACATTCCTATTTTTGTCTTCTAGTAGCTCTTTTACATTTACAGCATTTAGCAGACGCTCTTATCCAGAGTGACTTACAAAAAAGTGCTTTGTCTGTCTAGAGAAAGTATCTTTGCTAGTTACCAATAGGTTAGAGAGAAAGCCAGTCCTGAGCTCAGATACTGCTAGAAACAAAAGTCCATGTTGATATCTAGAGAAAAGAAACATTTAAACACTGCGCAGTGCAATACAGTACATTTCAATAAGTGCAGTACAGTACATTGCAATGAATACTTAACTCAGTGCTCATATAAGTGCTGTATAAAGAGATGTGTCTTCAGTCTACATTTGAAGACCGCAAGAGATTCTGCTGTTCACACAGCCAGTGGGAGTTCGTTCCACCACCTGGGTGCCAATACAGAGAAAAGTCTGGATGCTTGTCTTCCACGCATCTTGAAGGATGGCGGGTCAAGCCGAGCTGTACTCAAAGCTCGAAGGGCTCAAGGTACAGTTGGAGTTTTGACCATTGGCATCAGGTAGGGAGGGGCTGGTCCGTTTTTGGCTTTGCAGGTAAACATCAGGGTTTTAAATTTGATGCGTACAGCTACAGGAAGCCAGTGAAGGGAGCGCAGCAGTGGAGTGACATGGAGTGATGTGACTGAACTGGGCTCATGGTACACGGAAGTCATGGTTCGGTTCATACAGCAGTTTGGACATCACGGTTCAGTATGCTGCATTTCCTTTTCATGGTACCAGCTCAACTCTACTTGCCTTTCTTGGTTTTCCATTAGGCAACACTGGTACCTGCTACCGGGTACTGTTTTTGGTATCACCTCTGTCGAGGTTCCAAGCAAACTCAGCAGATACCAAAAGGTGACTTAAAATGCTGCAGACTACTGATTAGTCAGAGAGAACTGCTAAACATATATGCCATTATTAGCTACCAGCTTAGTGTACCCTCGCCTTTGAGCAACCAGAAGTGTCTCATTGTCTGAACTATGATGTAGTATTTCCCAAACTCTCCTGTTTTTTCAGCAGTATTTTGTATTGCTGCCATCAGCCTCTTCTGAACAAAAGTTGTCTCCTTAATATAACGACAGTTTCATGCAGCGGTGATATGATGACTAGCTACATTGAAGGGGTGTACTATTGCCAGAGTGCAACTACAGGCCATTAAGGTGGAACGGAAAACTTGAGCTCATTCACAATGAAATACTGAACAGAATTAAATAGTGCATCTTTAAGTACTAATTGACAAGCTGACGGAAAAATCTTTCCCTTCTTTAAAGCTTAAAGTTACTTCCCACTGCCTCCTTCACTCTTTCTCTTTAAGAAATCTTCAGAGTGTGAGAGAAGTTAGCTAAACAGCTACAGTCAGATTTATAGCAAATATGTCAGTTGCTCAGCCGACATGGGTAGCTTGTCATAAAAATCGGTTCGAAGAAAAACGCCAATAGAGATGAAAATCTTGATTGGAGCAGAGAAAACACTGAACATTTTGTAAGGCTTTGTGTTAAATCTCTTCATAGGCACAAAAATATTGCAAGCTGTGGATAGGGATCTCGTTTCATTCATTTAATTTCAGCTTGTGTTTTTTAAAATACTCTCTCTTTTTATTTACCTCAATAGCTGCTTTCTTCACTTCTCATTTGTGACGAATAAAAGTACCATTACACCCTTAACGTGCTTATTAATTTCAAGTTAATTTCAATTTCAAGTTCAGTAGGCTTTCGTTTACCTGCAGTTTTCCCTTTGTGCATGACACTCATGTGGTGGTGTCGCCCCAGCACCAGTCTGAGAAAATCAACACTACTTAAGCACAAAAGGTTTTATGTGGCCTGCCTTCATGTAGCTTTAACTTCAAGTGTCAGCTTTCCTTGGCACGACAAACTTCAAACCTGGGGCCACATTCACGAAAGCTTTCTTAAGAAAAAAACTTACGAAGGTTCTTAGGACAAACGCTAAGAAGTTAATAAGAATGTTAAATGCTGTTCTTGAAAAAAAAAACCTAAAGTTAAGGAAAAAAAAAAAGAGAATTCTTAAGTTATTTGAAGAATTTTTCATAACTTTTTTCCTAAGAATGAAGAAAAATTATATTTTTTTTTCCTAAGTCTTTGTTTTTGTCTAAGTTTTTGTGAATTCGGCCCCTGGTTGTCTTTTATGCCATCACATTCAGACACTCATAAGATGTAGCTGATGTCCAGCTGTTTATGAATGCTCCACTGTAGTCCACTGTAGTCGGGCATTATTCTGTAGTCCGTGTAATTCCCATATTAGGAACTCTGGGTCTAAACTCAGTTTCAATGGCCTGATTAAATGGGGTTTTCAAAAAATTTCCTCTATCGCACCATGCATTAACTAAAAATGTTCAGAACCTGATACTTTTTGTCCTGTGTACATTTTTCTCCAGTATTACTGGATCCTCTGTAGTATGAGGTTGTTAAAGAACCTTCATAATAATATTGTTATATGCAAGCTAATGCCACTGTGCATCAATTTGATGTCACTAAGCTACACAAAGGTAAAGCGGGCTATGGTGGTGTTCTTGCGACTACCTTATCAAATTGTTCTATCGCAGTACATATTTACAGGTATACCCAGAAATAAAACCTCTACGTAGGATATTTTGATAGCCTAAAACTCCTTACTTACTCCGAATTTTCCCATTCCACCTTAAATAATGCAGCAGTTGTGATTAGCTATCACAAACATTAGGAAACAGGACAAAACAATACTGACATGTTGGTTCTATTAAACAGCAAAAATAAGTTAAAAACGTACCTTATCAAAATGTCCTACCATACCACATTTTTATAGGTGCCTGTAAATAAAACCTCTAGGTAAGATATTTTGATAGCCTAAAACTCCTCATCAAAATTACTACCAGTGTAAAAACTATGAGGCTGAATTTAGCTTCTTTTTCACCAGCTTCTTGTTGGAGTTTTCCTGTTCCACCTTAAATGGTGCAGTTTTGCTTGACCATCACAAACATTCGCAAATGGGACAAAACAATACTGACCTGTTGGCTCTGTGAAACAGCAAATTAAGTTAATGTTACTCAGCTGTCAAGCAGAAACAGAGCAACTTTCAATTCTCCATGAAGCTGAAGTCAGCTTCTTTTTCGCCAGCAGTTCAGAATATAACTGCTGCACCATATAAGGTGTAACAAGAAAATGTGAACAAGAAGCTGGATATTTTGTTAGCCTAAATCAGCTTATCATGGGTAAGCAGTAATATTATGCTGAGTCTATACTGAATGAGTGCAGGTACGTTTATAGAGCTTTTCAAATTTAAGCTATGCACAGCACAGAAAGATATATTGTGTTTCTGTGAGTAACGAAGAACAAATAACTGCAAGGAAACCGGCTTCTTTTGTTCCGAGTTCTTTGCATCTGCCCTCATTCTGTACACACAAATACGCTACCACACTGGCAAAGCATGCTGGTTTGCATGTTTTTTAAGGAGGCTGCCAGCCTAATGCTGTCAATTCAATGCACAGTAGCATTAGCTTACATGTAGCAATATTCATATTTCAACTCTTTAACTACCTCGTATTTCAGAGGATCTAGTGATATTCGAGAGAAGAATGCTCATAGGACAAAACATATCAGCTTTGGAACATTTTTGGTTATCACAGGATGCGACAGAGGCAATTTCCAAAAACTATTTCTCATAGAGAAATTCCTTTTAGACCTCAAGTTCGTTATATGGGCATAAAAGCATGGCGCTGACTGCAAAATGACGATATGACTAGATACGCTTGAAGGGCATTGTTTTTGCATTGTCTTGAAAAATGTATAATTTATTATACTCGCTGAATAAAGATTCTCTGTGATTTTTACTCTGTCACATTTCCTATATACGAGTTAATGTGCATGGTTAGGTGTTGGTATGTTAGAGGTGTGAAAGGAGAAGAGACAAAATGGAAATGATAATTCCCAGACATAATTCATAAAAATTCACCTACAGGAAATCTATAACACGCAGACCAGCTTACTTTCTATTTCTCTGGGGAAAAGAGGTTTTGCCCTATGACTGGTTATTTAAATAAATAGAAGCAAAGGCTATACTTCCGAAATCTTGCAGTTCCTATGGACTGGTGAGTTTATAGGTCAAAATGGTAAATAAAATAATTACTTAACTTTCTATTTTTGATGTAGATTTGACCAATTTTATCTTTCTGGGAAATTATTCTGCCAGAATATTGAAGAGTTTTTTTTTTAATTCTCTATTTAACAACTTAATTTAATAACTTAATTATCAAAGGCTCTTGCTCTGTTTAGTAGCATGGCAGTGAATGTATCAGATGAGCTATCCTGTTCCAGATAACTTAGGCCATAGGGGAGTTCAGGAATGTTGTCCAAAGAGAAAATGAACTGTGCCTTTTTAAAGTTAAAATAGTGGAAGGTGATTAATGGATTGGTCATTTGGATGAAGGCTCTCAGTCCAAAAGTAGCTGGATTTCCACAGTGACAAAATAGGAAAAAGTAATTAACCTTCTTTGATCTTATTTCTGTCAACTTCTGAGTCATCATCTCACTTTTAAATGTAATAAAAATGTAAAAAAAATTAAACTGTTCTACTTTTTGTGCTGTGAATAGCAGTCTAGATAACCCGTGTGATCCAGCTAGGGTCGCGGGTGCAATAGGGAATTGTTTGTGTAAAACAGTGTCTTGTGTGGACAATGTAATTATGGAGTGTTAAGCTTTGTGGTTGTTTCGTATACTCTGGCTTGGGTAGTTGTCCCAAATTGGTGTGATTATTTTAGTAGATTTGCTTGATAATAAAGCAAACCATATAGTACGGTTGGTCAAATAAATGATAAAGATAAATAAACTTGGCTGCTTAAATCTTAATATCATTTACATGAGAAAAGTATTATTGCATTCTAAAAAAAATGTCCAAAGATATTATACCTCTTGTTATCCTTTGCAGACCTTGTGAGTGCTAGTTCAAGTGTTTTGTCTTTCTGACACATTTTTGCTACTTTGTTTTCTTCGTTTACAGGGAAGAACATAGGGACACAGCTCAGAGACGGCAGCCCCCTCTTGGTGCTAAGGCCCCAGTGTTGGGGAAGGTTAATAGCTTTGGCCGAAACCAGACAAAGGGAACTACTGGATCAGCTTCCCTGCAGCTCCCTATCAACAAAACGCACAGTAAAGCCAATGGTCTCGGTGCCTGCACTTTAAATCCTGCCGGTGTTAGGTCAGCAGAAAATGACTTGTTGTGCACTCAGGCTTACAAAACTACACCTGCTGGCAAGATGGCCGCTGACACAGGACAGGCCCACCACCTGAGGAAGGGCAGCAATTTTAGCTGTCTGGTGACCTCTAGTGACCCTGTTCCACATCAGGCATCTCTCGGCGTGCAGTCCTGCACTCCAAGGCCAGTTTCTCCTCACTGTGGAGCTACAGCACGCCTGTATGATGACCCTCTAACAGATAGCCCCATTTATGATGAGCCTCCTATCGATATGGAAGTGGAGGGTGCTCACCTACAAAACGGCCTGTCCCGCCATACTTATAGCCTGCAGAACACTAAGTTCCTTCAGCACCCAGGACAGACTCTCCCTGGCTCCAGGCACAAGAGGAATCCCTCTGCTTCTGATTACAGCCCTGCTGGTCTGGAGTGCATCAAGCATATGGTAAATGTTGACCTGAAACAGGCACTTCTGTCCACGTCGCCCGCGCTCTCACCTGGTCTGTCAGCCTCTTCTGGTCCTGAATCCGTGCTCCCCCAGCAGGTCAGAAAAGAACCAGTAAGCCTAGAAAAGAAGCAGTCATGGAGGCTTCTGGAAGCTGGTGTTCTTAGAGCCATGGAGGTGCATCACAGCAGGCGAAGCAGTCAAGTCTCCCAGGACTATTCCACTCCACCACCTCCCACAGGAACCTATCAAGACTCGGGCTACTCCACTGGGCCATCCCCAAGTCTGCACAGAAAGAGCAGGAGGAGGATGGGTGCTGGGATCCAGGGACGCCCAGGCTCTGTGGGCAGCACAGGAGAGCTCTGTTCCCTAAACGAACGTTTAATGGCTGAGATGAGGGAGGTAGTAAGCCGCTCCAACACTTTGCGCGAGACCAAGGAGAGTCTGGATTTGGAGATGTTGGAGGGCTGCTCGGTGAAACACTCACATTCTTCATTACACTCACCCAGAAGGGTTGTTGGTGGAATGAGGTGCTCCTCTAAGGAAGACATTGTTTCCAGCAGCAGGTCTTTAAGCAGATCAGGAAACCATGCCAGTGTGACCCTCACAACACTGGAGATTCCTGGCAGGCAGAAGAGGACATATGAAAAAGTGGACACCCTGGAGAAGAGTATTAACAGCCAGGTTAGCCTCTCCTCTCCTGAGACTCCTGGGCCTCCCTCTCAGGTAAATTCATATTATTATTATTATTATTACTGATATGTTTGTCAAATTAGCCATATGAGTTCATGCGCACTGGCCAACCTTGTTTCCTTGTTCCCTTCTTGCCATGTTTTTGTGTAGTAAGCCAAAAAACACTTCTGCTGGGCTGCTGAATGGCAACTAGAATAATACAATGCATGAAAAGTTAATAACTCTGTGCTTGGGGACTATTTTCCACTGCCCAAGACTTTTGGCATCATTAAAAACCAGACAATGTATTTTTATCTGCTTGAGGGCGTGTTTTTTTTTTTTCTGAATGTCTGAATAAGTTTTGCTCTGTGGCTCTGATTTGAGCCAAATTATTGTATTTGCTGATTTCTTTGCAGCCAAATTGGCCAATGGCTGATTTTTATTTTACTTTTTTTTGACCCAAAGCTCACACTGCGTGGAAGAAAAATGAACTATAGCACATTTCCACTATTTTCTATTATCTAAATTAATAACATAAATAACATTATTTGCTTTTTAATGAGACAAACTGGCATTTGAAGTGAAAAATCAGTTGCCTATTTGAATAACATGAATTATTATTTTGTTATCTTGCTACATCAGAAGTAGGAAGCAGCTGACTGTTTAGTGCAAAGTGCATTTATAACTCATTTACAACATACAACACTTCCTTATGGGAAATAATGATTAGACTGAACTCAACTTCATTGGCTCTAAATGAGCTCTCAGTAAAACTGGTCCTGCAGTGTTTTTCCTTGGATGACGTAGCTGTCTCTTCTTTCCCTCTAGTTCTAAACCTGGTTGTCATCCTAGACTTGATTATTCTCATTCAATGCAAATTAGACCAAACCTTTCTTAGTCTGCTGTTGAATCTCTTATTTCCGCTTTCCTCTCTACCTTTTGGATAAAAGCAGTGGATTGGCCCATAGTGTATGTGGGGAAAAAAAAGCCAATTCAAATAGTGCATCCCTATACTTAAATGATGGCAAGATTTGCCTGCTGTACATCAATTGAACCTAAAAGAAGAGAGCCATTTTGGTAGAGGGCTGTTTAAAACACTTTCCCACAATTCTTTTGAGTCTGCTCTTCACATTCCTTATGCATAGCTTTGGGAGTGTCCCCCTTCACCCTCTACTACCTACCAGGCTAGTCGATCAAGTGCCAGGACATAGCAGTGCTGTAAAACATGGTTCCTGCAGAGCAGGAAAGGCGGACACTGTGGCCCATATGGTACTGTCCTGGCATAGTGAGGGTACCACTGTGCAAAAGAGCTGCTGATACCAAAACAGAAACAGAAGTGGTTGCTTTTTCTCACTGTTGGCTTTTCAACGTTCACACAGTGAAGAGCTCAGTTCGTTCTGTGAAATGTTCCCCAAGCGGATTACATCATAGGTCACCCAATCTCCTAGTGCTGTAGACATTTGAAAACAGTTTTGTTTCCCATTTTTTAAGGGACTCTTTTTGAAGATCTTTTTTTGTTTTTATTTGTTTTATTATCACATGTTGTATCTAGTTCATGTAGGTGTATTGCCATTTTTCTGCAGTGTGGCAATAACAGTAGTGGGGTGCCTTACAAGAGAGAAATTCCTTGAGGGCTCAGGATCCTACCTTTATCTCTCTTACTCTCTTGCTTTCCTTTGCTTTCCCACCTACCATCTCTCTGTTTTTCTGTTCCTTCCTTCTCTTTAGGCAGGGATGTTGGACTCGAAAGGTCAGCTAAAGAGCAGAAACAAAAGCATGGTGGATGGTCGAACAGCCTCTCTTGGCCCTCCTGGCAGCATGACGGCGCGAGCTGTAAGCCGAGAGAGCTTTCATCTCTCCTATGCCACCCTGCGCCAGCCTCCTCTGCCGGATACGGGCATGGCCGACTGGGCCAGTAAGCATCTGAACCTGCACACACAGGGCCTGTTTCGACGACGCATCTCAATTGCCAACATGCTCTCCTGGAACCGTGGCTCCATCAAGAAGCCGATGCTGGTGACCACCGACCGCACTGTGCGGAAGGAGGCCTGTGAGATGTTCAAGCTGGTCCAGGCCTACATGGGTGACCGGCCATCACGCCTTGACCGCCGCCATGCAGCCCTCCTGATCGTCACTAAGTGCTGGGGAATGCAGGGCCTGCGAGATGAGCTATATGTGCAGCTGGTGAGGCAGACCACAGGCAACACCAGCCCCCGCAGCCTGGCTGCAGGATGGGAACTGATGGCTGTCAGCTTGGCCTTCTTTGCTCCCTCACCCAAATTCTGCTGCTACCTGGAAGGCTACATCCAGCGACACATGGACCCAGCCAGTGATAAGAAACGTGAGTTTCTTGATCAGCGACAGGGTGGGTTTGCAACCCCTTTCACTCCCGTACTCCCTCTTATCTCTCTTTTTTCCTTATTTTTGCTTTCTTTTTCCCACTTTTTTTGGTCGCTCTTTTTCTTTATCTTTGCTTGCTCTCTTTTTCCTTTCTCTCCTATCTCTCTCTCTCCTCTTTTTCTTTCCTCTCTCTTCTCCCTCTCTCTCTCTCTCTCTTTGCCTTTGTTGATTTAAAAGTGTATAGGACAAAATATTAGAAATGTGCAGGATTTCATTAGTGAATTTCTTCTTGTTCTTTTGTCTCCAGTTATTCAGTTCATACTGGACCAGCAGGACTTCAAGAAGAAGAACTCAAAGTCCAGAAAGAAGAGAAAACAGAATACAGAAGAGGAAGAGGATGGTAGGTTTGCAGATTGCACAGAATGTAGTTGTTCTACTAGAAATTTAGAAATATTTACTTAGAAGAACTCAAAGGGCCAGCATTCTCCCTAATACATTAATTCTGAGTAGGAACTTTCAGGATAGCTTTAGCTCAACCACTAATAAACTTGTTATGTAATTTGAATGTGAGTGGAAAACAGTGTGAGTGCTGTTCATTAGTCAGTGCCAATTATTGATTGACTAAAGTCAATAAGGCTTGTTTTAATTAATCCATGTAGCTGGCCCCACTGCCATCACATTGTCATTCATTGAGCATGATATCTTGACATTAAGAGACTTTGACCTCATTTGGGTAGCCACAATGCTCAGTACTGATGCCTATGATGACTATTGTTGCCTTTCATGTACTGAAGGCAGGCTGTTGTTTGAGAGCTCGACCATCAGTGATAAGTTTTGAACTTGGAAAGCTTTGAAACAGCAGGATTTTACCATTACAGAAGAATGCAGCGGAATCTGCATTTTCCCTTGAAAGGAATAGTTAAAGCTTGGAGAGATTGGAAAACATTATTCTTCTCAGAGATCAAGGACTGATAGATGGTACAGTCTCTCTAATTAGACTTAATTGTAGCCTGGCTCAGAGAGATTAACAAGGGGTTGTGGCAACATGCGCATGTCACCTGTTTGCCATAAATCTGGTGGATTTCAGTTTTGAGGAATGCTTCTCAATGGATGCTTCTCATCCCAGCCTGAGTGTTTGCCACCAGGCCCAATTATTTCGACTGGCAATGTTAGCAGCAAAGGCATTGGCCCACTATGGCTTTAAATACAGTATTATGTAGCCATCATGTTAGCATATTTATGAAATGCAGAACATTTGCTGTAAGCAAAAACATTTGCTTGTTACATTCTCTCTGAATAGCTGAGGCACTAACGGATGAGTGTGAGTGTGACTCTGCCTGCACTGCATTAACGACATACAAAACCAATTAGCTTCCTTACTGCAATATAGAACTGGAAATTAAATACTTGTTTTTCTGAAGTGTGGCTTCTAAAGACCTTGTAGAGCAGGTCTGGCTGCATGTGTGAAATGTCTGTGTTCATTTCAGACTTCTCAGGCCCCTCTTTTAATATTTTAGAGACTTGTGCAGTCATTTATGGCTTCTGTGTATTACTCATTCCTCAGTGTTTTTGGCTGCAGGTTTCCCCATCAGCACTTATGCAAAGTACTGCTACCGTAAACTCAAGAAAGTAGCTGTTACCGGAGGAAAAAAGGTGAGTCCAGTATCTCAGCCTGTACTGTGTGTAGTGGAACTGGCGATTCTAGATTTTTTTTTAGGTGGGGCTGTAATGGGGCCACAGTTCTTGTTCAGGGGTCAAATAAATGCCTTCAAATTCTAAGAGCTCCATAATTACTTACAATATTTGTATATATTATTCACATTATATACATATATTATTCAGGCGGTGTGTCTCATTTCTAGGTAGAGTGCATCCTTTGCATCGGTCTGCAGAGGAGCCTCCCTCTGCTTGTATAGCCCCAAATGATGCGGCCTACCGTGGATTCATAACTGCAGCAGTGTCATAACTCCTGTGAGGCTAAGTTTGAGATGTGTGAACAATAAGCGGGTTGCCGAAGGCACCTATTGAGATTGTACACTCTGTAATCGAGGTCAATAAATAAAGAGGGGATTAAAAAACAAGCTGAAATTAAACAAATGAAATGAGACTTTTCGCTATACACATCCCCCAGTATTTCGCACCTGTGAAGTGATTCAAGATGAAACGTTACATTTTTTTTTTCTCTTTTTTTTCTGCTCCTAACTACAAAATTACAACTGAAGTTGAACTATCACCACACGGATTAGTTAACATTATTGACTTTCCCATCTGCTGCCACTCCACAGTCAGCTGTGTGACTTAGTTCAAGTTCAGATTTAGCTTTGGCTAGTAGCCTGCTTTAGTTTGTTTTATTTTAATTAAGAGCTCTGTTTTGGATTCAGCTGTAGCTTTGTCTCCTTGGCTTCGCTAAAATAATTAACCCTTTATATACCTAAGTTAATGAGTGAAACTGAGATGCTAAAAACTTTACTCATCACTGTTAAAAATATAGCTGGTCATCCATATAACAACAGGACACTAACATCCTTCACTGCCATTTATGTGATAAACTGGTACTAATTTTCATGAACAATTGGGGGCAATATACATTTCACTATGATTTTTTTTTTTTCAAACTGGCTCTGCGGCTTCATCATAGTAGCCTGTGACACAGCGGTTTATGGAAACTCAAGGCTAAGAAAGATACACAGGTCGCATTTCTGGGCCACATTTTAAGGATCCTCCACGGTCTTTTGAAATGGAGCAGTGCTTACAACGTATGCGTCCAAGAAATGGGATCTTCGAAGGCTGCAGGCATGCAAATGAAACACAGCGAGTGTGTTTTACATTTGGCAACAGACATGGCAAAATTTTATCATAAATCTAATCATTTCGCACCTAGTAAATACAGACATGCAAACTCGTAGGCAGTGAAGAATAAATTTGGAAACCAACCCCTGATTCAGGGTCCAGAAGCATTTAGCTTAGAAAATTTTAGTTATTTTAAATTAAAATTAAGCATTATGGTGCATTCAGAAAGGGAAACAAGTAATTGCTGTAGAACAGAGAGAACAAGAGTTAAGAGAGTTAAGAGTTCCAACACCCTTGTGTCTAATTTCTATCTATTAATTGGAGCAGGTGCATTACGTAAGGGCTGGAGCTAAACTCTGCTGGCTGATAGATCTCCAGGACCAGGATTGGGTACCCTTAAAAGATGAAGATTGTAGAAAAATTCAGTTCATTGACTTCAACAACTATGGCAGTTAAGGTCATGTCAAAAACTGTACTTCTTTTCATGAGGTATTTTAAAATTTGTTTAAAATAACTTATTGCTTACCATACCAATGTCACTGAAATTTGGCAAACATCTTCTAAGATCACTCCTCAACAGTTAGAAATAGAGGCCATTCTAAAGACTCACTGTCATTTGTGTTCTGTCTGCTGAAAGGCATATATGCACCACAAGGCATGAAGTGCTTAGACCCCTATGACCGCCACTTGCAAGGTAATTTGCAGACAATCGCTTGGCTCTCATGGAGGTAGAGTCCACAGAAATCAACATGTTCTACATCAATTTCAGACAAAAACAGTGGTTCCTAACTGTCTTTGTTGCAAACAATGAAAATTTGCTTATACTAACACTGAAAAGGTTTAATTTAGTAGTATCATTAAAGCACTCATTTCCAGTAACTTTAGCCAAGTTATATTATCCAGCAGCACTCCTAAAACTCAATCTACATAGTTCATTCATCATTCAGACACAGGAATTGCACAGAAGTGCAAAGAGTTTGTCAATGATGTGATGCAAGTGGCGAGTGTCTAGAGGAGGGGCACTTAAAGGGCCAATCAGATTTCTTCTAGAGCCAGTGCCCCTTTGTAGTGGTTGTGTTTGGGTGAAAAGTATAGAGGAGGAGCATTGAAATAATTGTTGAATACTTGTAGACATCTTTGGGTTGTAAAATAGTGTTGGATGTAATGGTTAGATTTTGAGAAGTCTTCTGACATTGCCAGTTTCTTTTGCAGGGTCTTTGTAAGCCCACCCTGGAGGAGGTTGATCACAGCAGGCGAGCCATCATAACTCCCTCCCTGTTTGGCAGCTCTCTGGAGGAGGTGATGGAGAGACAAAGTGAGCTCTTTCCAGACAGGAAATTGCCCTGGGTGCAGGTGCAGCTCTCGCAATATGTTCTGGCTCTGGGGGGTGCTCAGACAGAGGGCATATTTCGGTAAGACCAACTGCCATGGTCCCTAATAATAATGGGTTCCCATGTAATGATGAATTTCCTAATAATTGACAACATAAATCTTGTTACCTTTTCCTTTAGATTTTTTTTTAATAATGAAATGTACATTCAGTCATGCAAATCTAAATCTGTTCAAAGGAGACAACAAAAAGTATTAGCATAGGAAGCTGGGGGATTCAACAAGGAAACAGCATACTCATGAGTTGGTATGCTTGCTCCCTCTAATGGACTGACAGGGTAACACAATTACATTCTCCTTGCAGTGTTCCTGGAGACATAGATGAAGTCAATGCGCTGAAGTTACAGGTGGATCAGTGGAGGATTCCAGAGAACCTTTCAGATCCCAATGTTCCTGGTGAATTTTGTTTTTCTCTTTCATTTTGTTTCAGCATTCAGAGAGCTGGAACAAAAGAGAATTTATTTGTATTTTGGTTCTCAGATGAAGTAAGGCAGGCATGCATGACTGTTAACTTTTACTAGTCAACTAGTCATGCATTGCAGAAGACAATTTGTTATATTTTAGTGAGTTTCAGGCTCTGACACTTTGTCTTCAGAGGTACATGGATCGCATGCTGCACACAAATGAATACACAAAGTGGCCATTTGCACCTCTGTGCACTGATTATGGGTGAGGAATTTGAGCCAAATTAAAATGCAGTCACAAAAGTGGGAAAAACGGAAATCCAGTTAACACTTGAACTTTACATTTCTTTCCAATGTGCTGTACTTCAAATGTATATGCATCACTGAAATGCAGTCATCAACGGTAAAAAAGTGTAATAGCAAAGCACATATGAGATTGTGTTAAACAATGAGGTGAAAGCATTTCAAAATGAAGTCAAACATCCATTACATTGATTTAATGCTGTTTGAAGTACTGCACAGTGGAAAGCTGTATAGCAGTGTGTTGATTACATTTTAGAGTGGATTGTACACAGATTCAGCATTTAATTATATTAAATCCCCATGTATTGTTTGCATTGCATTTCACATTTTTCCACAATAGTGATTGCATTTGAATTTACCACAAATTCCTCTTCATAGTAAACTAGATGCATTTGAGAAACAGTATACCACTTTCTTTTCTTTTCTGATCTGTTTTTGTTGAAGCACTGTTGTGGTTCACCTGCTTACACATCACACAAAAACTACGCTATGTGGTTGATCGTTTTGCATGTATTTTGCAAATGACCCTTTCCTGTTAAAGCAGACTATTCTCGAAACATACATGAACTGGCTTACAAGATTTCATTAAAGTGTTGCACAACTTGCAGTGGAGCCGACTACTGCATATTTTAGTCCACTAATCTATGTAAACCCTAATATGAAGGCAGTGTTTTTTTTCATAATCTTGTTTTTCAGACTCAGTTTTCAATTCTTTGTGTCTTTAATGCTATATTGCTCTTGCAGCCTCACTCATGAAGCTGTGGTATCGGGAACTGGAGGAGCCGTTGATCCCATTGAGTTTCTACAAGCAGTGTGTCAGTAACTGTGACGACCCAGTGGCAGCCATCAATGTGGTTCAGTCCCTGCCGGACCTCAACAGACTTGTGCTATGTTACTTCATCCACTTCCTTCAGGTAATCCATTACACATGACAGCCAGAATACACTTATCCACCAGTTTCGCAATGAAAGGTGCACCCCCCTTCAATATGTTTTACATTTCATATAAATTGTTTTATAATACACCCTCAGGTGTTTGCCCAGCCTGCAAATGTATCGGTTACCAAAATGGACGTGAACAACCTTGCCATGGTAATGGCTCCCAACTGCCTTCGCTGCCAGTCAGATGACCCTCGTGTCATTTTTGAGAACACACGCAAGGAGATGGCCTTCTTACGCATGCTTATTGTTCACCTAGACACAAGCTTCATTGAGGGCATCATGTAAAGCTCCCTAACCAGCTCAGCTATAAGGCTTCATCACACAGCTGTTGACCAACCAGCCTGTGTGTCAACATGCTAACTAACTCAAACATACTCATTCTGAAAGCAAATCTGTTGTTGTCAGTGATATGCAGACTGAATACTGAAATGCTCTGTTACTCATGAAGGATTACACACCTTACACACAAACCGTTTCAAGTACCATATGTTTGTACAGCTACATACAGCAACAGAAAATGTCTTTGGTTTGTGTTTGATATGATTCAGGTTCATATAATGAAACATAAACACATGCGATTCAGATGTAATGTGCATGGGTAAAAGCCTGTTTAAAGCCTTTGTGACTACCCAAAAGGGCGTGTTTATTTCTATTGCTAGTTGTGATTGTCACAGAGTGACAGTCAGTGAGGGCCTTTGTAGCTTCTTCTCATACTGTGGTGTTTTAAAGACAGAAATTCAAACTGTTATTGTGTACAGACAAAACTTTTCTGTTATTGGACAAGCAATAGTAAAAGCAGAATTGTAAAAGGTAAGTTTTTTAAGGTCAGTGAATGTTTTTGATATTTCAATCCCTTGAAATGAAATAATTTATTGTATTTTAAGCAGTAAGACTCTTTTTTACCATGCTCTCTTATATGATGTTTTTGGAACTTGTAGTAGGCATTATTTAAAGCACTACTTTGACAATCAAATATGTGAAGTATGATATAAGCTGTAACAGTGTGGTGTAGTCCATAGTCTCCAACTTGCTCATCACTGCATCTGTAAATATATTAAAGAATTTTCAGTGAATTTATGAATATAATATGAATGATTTTCCATCGTTAGACATGACTTTGAATCAACATGATTGGGTTCTGATTTAATGATCCATATGTTTACCATTGGAATCTTGAGCTGTCTGAACAAAGTTTTAAATTTCTTACTCCGCTTTTGTCAGTGTATTGCTGTGTTATGCATTGTGACTTACTTCGTGTAAATAAAGCATGTAAATACTTAATTTACTGACAGTGCTTTCAAATGAAACTCTGTAACAGTAGTAGTAGAGAAAAGAGAAACTAGTTTTCATTTTTGTTTGTGATTGTTCGTTAAAGTTATAAGCTGCACATGTATGATTGAAATACACCTAAAGTAAATGTTGGTCTGTGTATGTTTTTGTGTGTGCTTGTGGAACAACTGTCCAGATGAGGAAAAACAATAAAAAGTTTCTTGACTCTGAGAATTCTACTTGAAATACTTTGTAGTTTGTGCTCCACGTGTTGAAATGCATGCTTTATGACTGTTGAAAAAATAGATGGCACACACTTAATTGGCTATAAATGTAAGAAATGCTGTGGAAGTAAATATTACCCTATGCAATATTATTCTAGAAGTAAAGTGGTGACAGAATATAAGGTATTTTGTCATTTGCTTTGTTTACCGTTTGTTCACCATTTGTTAAAAAATGGAATCCACACAACTCATATTTGTTTCTTAGCTGGGGTAAGAGAATTTCTTTTTTGTTTAAATGAATTTTATTTATTTAAGATGCCTGTGTACAAGAAAGCAATAATCTTGACATTAATCATGTAAGCGTATAAGATTGAAGCCTTAGTCGAGCTGGATTAGTTTTACCAGAGAAGGTCTGGTTATGTAATTTGCATGTGATTTTACTAGCTGATTTGTATGGAATAAAGAATCTGTGTAGTCTCCCCAAATAGTCTGAATCAAAACATCATAGATGAGAATATGCATGTGTCACTTCACTGTCGTCTGAATGACCACACACCTTTTTGGGTGACAACAAACCAAGGTCATAGTGCTGGTGTTCTAACAATTTGTCCTACCCATTGAGCAGTCCTACTGAGCATGTGCAAATCATTACTAGAAAACAAATAGTTCTTGTCCTGTAATCTGATTGGCTGAGCCACTGTTAAAGCACAATATGCACACACCTATGACTGCCTCACAATTTTTTATTTAATTTATTGTTTGCACAAGAAGGTACAGTATAAACAAATTAAAAAATTGAAAGTGTTCAGTGCAAGTGAAAAAAAGGCCAGTAAGGGCTTGTGCAAAGTACTTTACCTCAAGCAAAAAAATATTAAATTTAATTAAAAAACAAAGAGACAAACTCACATAAAATACAAACACATAGAGTGAGAGCAGATATGTTTTAAGATGATGAGACTACATTGGCAGCAAAGAATACATTCTTTGCTGCCAAGTAAAGATCAGTAAAGATCATTAACATATATTACAAATAACAGGGGTCCCAACATTGACCCTTGAGGAATCCCCCAATCTATGTTCTTTAGACTAAAGCAGGAGCTCTGCCATAAGACACATTGTTTTCTATGTGATAAATAGCTTCTAACCCATTATTACTTCTGTAGCAGGATACTGTGATTAACTGTGCCGAATGCCCTGGGTAAGCCAATAGAGACTCCTATGGTTATTTCATTGTTAGAGTTTTAGCTGAACCAGGGCCATGGAGGTAGAATGTTTTTCCCGGAAACCAAACTGTTGACAATATAATAGTTAAAAGGTTTATAGTTAAAAAGTATATAAAAGGTTTTCATAAACTTTGGATATATAAGGAAGAATAGATATAGGCCTATAATTTGAGAATATTATTGGGTCATCTGATTTATTTAATTGGATAACCTTTGCCCATTTCTATTCATCAGGAAATATGCCAGAGCTTATAGATTGGTTGATAAGATAAAGTAATGGTTTTGATAATGATGAGAGACAGCACCGGCAAGAAATCATCCAGACCAGCAGCAGTATTCTTGAGTTTATTTATAACATTGCTCAGATTGCTCATCAAAGTTATGGGCCAAAACTTGAAAGCATTAAGTGACGGTGAAGAGTCAGGTAGAGGGTTCGATTCATCAAATAACCTCTGTAAAGCTTGTGTTTTTTACATTGGCGATCCAGGACTTAAAAGGTTGAAATGGAAATGACTAATCAATTCCTTGAATAATAATCCCTCTAAATGCAGAGCAGGCATATTGTGCATCACTTTGAGTTTGAACATCATTCCAGGTACAGTTTGAAATGTATTCAATGA